TTTCTAAGTTTCCAGGGCTTCTGTATGTTAACAATACTCTTTATCTCTGTTTGGTCTAAAGGACTTAATGAGTCTCAGTAAGCACTGGGAGAGGGGAAAAATCTGTCTTACACTAACTGACCTATGTGACCATACATGTCAGTTAGCTTCTTTAGTAGGATAATTACCCCAGCCATCAGATCGGTGCTTTCCACCAAAATGACCAGGCCTTTTTTTCACTAATTTCCCATCCAATTTAAATAAGACTGCTCCAGCACTATAGGCCATCTTTGAATGCATGTATTTTCTTTTTAACACACACACACACACACACACACACACACACACACACACACACACACATGCGCGGTTATTTAATTTATCTGGTTGTTTGTGAAGTGTGACAAAGAAATGCTCATTCCAGGATCAAAATTAAGGGCCAAGGCTTTGTGTTTTTATTTGCAAGAGCTGCAATTATCCTGTGAATATTTGGCATGACTCAAAGAAAGCGCTTTTTTATTCGTAATTGTAACCTTTTTGCATTTTATTAAAGGGGTCACCTCTTAAATATATATTTTGCTTTATTATTTTTACCCCTGAGGTCCACTTATAATGATATTTGTTTTGTTTTGTTTTTTGCACCAGAAGAGTCATGATTAATTTTTAATGGCTATTTTCCACACTGACTCTGACACTTAAACCTAAACTAACATTTCTGTGCCTTTAAAGTCAACTGCGATTTGTGAAACTGCATTGTGTTACTGTAAAGCGACGTTGTTTTCTTTCTCATTTATTCAAGCAATCAGGGATCTATTGGATCTTGAAATGTGGATGGTTAACAGTTATTCTTTAACATGTTTCTCAGTACTGAGTTGCAGCTGGAAGGGCGTCCGCTGCGTAAAGCATATGCTAGAATAGTTCGTGGTTCATTCCGCTGTGGCGATCCATGATAAATAAAGCACCAAGCTGAGGGAAAATGTAATTATTTAACATTATTAATTTTTTGAAGTCGGACCTACTCATTCAGTTATATTAGAGTATTCAGGGCTCGACAAGAAGGACTGCCTGATGGCATTTGATGATTTTTTTTTTTTTTTTTTGTATCTTCTTCTGTTTTTTTATTGGTGAGATTTTCTATTGATATCAGTTACTGAGTGTTATCTGCTCTGGATTCGAATGGATAGCTTGCATGGTTTGGGATCGGTAGAGCTATGCATCGATGGATTAGCTGCTCAGTGTTTAGCCCCTCAATAGTGACTAATAAACCACACTGAATTGAGCTGAACTGAACTTAAACCCTAAATACTGAACTACACTGTTTCAATTTACTATGATCTTTTATGTGAAGCTGCTTTGACACAATCTACATAGTAAAAGCGCTATACAAATAAAGGTGAAGTGAATTGAATTGATTGAAGTGTGAACTCTTCCTGGATTGTAGATTGTCTCAATTTCCATCGTGCGTGTCTAATTGTGGAGTTGGACTGGCGAGCCTCCCATTAAGTGGATTCTTTGGATACATCTGTCTGAAAGATACAAAGTAAAACTTATTCAGCGTCATGGGAGGAGTGTAAGTTTACATCACACTCACAAGTTCAGCATCCTGGATTTCTAGAACTAAATTTGCAATCTAGTTGTTTTTCAAAAGAATTGTTTTGAATATTCATCACCTGCGCTGGACTTTTGGGACATTTTGAAATGTTTTAAGTGAATGTTTTATTTTCATTTTTATTTTATTTGTACATTGTTTTCATTAGAGTGTTCATTCTTTGCCATTTTTAAAGTTGTGTTGAAAGAAGCTAATTGTTTAGGAAGGAAACGTTCGATTATATGTTGAATAATGAATATTATATTCGCTTGTTAAGTGGTGACGTGTTAGTGGCGTATGTAATGCTGTTTCCGGGTCAAAGCAGCCACTCATTTGAGTTGAGAAAATATTTTGTTTATGATCAAGTAAATTTTATATGAAGTTAGGGTGTACACAACAATCTCTGGGCTTGCTGCATCACAAATACCAAAGTTTCAACAATTTATAAAAAAAAATTAATCACTTTCTGCCCATCGGATATTAGGCATGGACATATATACTGCGATCATGATTTTCAAACGTATTAAAGCGCTTTGTACACGTTTATTAATACCATTTCATGAGTCTCCCCATACAGTTGAATAGAGCGATTGGACTTGGAAGCTGCTTTGCGTGATTTCACACTTAAAGGTGCAGAAGGTGATTGTCTTCAGAAGCATTTTTTGTTGTGCTGGTTGAAAGTCTCTTCACAGTCTAATAGTAATGATTAAAGTAAATGATCTAAATGTATTTATATGTATTTTTATGTTTTGTGCAAGGCATAAAACTAACAAAATGTTCATCCAATTAAATAGAGTTGGACCGACATCTCTCATAATTCTTACAAATAGGCCAAACTGTCTGTCAGCAAATGCAGATTTGAACAACTGCGCAGCCGTTTGTACGCAGCTCCACCGACCACCGCACGTTCACGAGAGGGAGATAAACCTGCTGAATTAAAACTTCTTAAAAACCTGAATCTATATTGGAGTTACCTTTGCACGCTGGAGAAAGGATGACACAAAGGCTGAAGGATTTCTCTTAGACAGATAATGTTCTGTTTTAAAACTGTTTTAGCTTCACGTAAAGCTGATGTAATTAGATGTTGTTACAAATGGGTTATATCTTCACAGACGTTTTGTTCAGTCACTAAAATCTTCAGATGAAAGATTGATAAGTCTATTTTCAGTTTCATAAGGTCCTTTTACAGCATCAATAATGTAGATTTTAATTAGTTTAACAACAAAACACAAGTAAATACAGCTATTCTGCCTAGTCTCTCCTTATATTGTTTACCATGCAACTCTAAATATAAACTTTGAAATCGCATGTCAGTTTAGCTTGCACGCTACCGGACAAGCAGTAGTCGCTTTTAGCACATGAGAGAGGGTTCTTTTGCTGTCCTCGTGTTTCAGGAGGCGTGGCTCTAGACGGCAGGGGAGGGACTGTGATTCAGAGATTTATGCCAAGCTGTTAGCATTGTGGAAGATCACCTACTGCACCTTTAACAAGAGGATAATTAGCTAACACTCACAAATCTTTAATATAGTATTGTTATTAGTATATTAGTATTATAGTATTGTTTATAATAGTAGCCAAAATATAACCTTAGCTCTTAACAATAGAAAAACAGAAAAATAACATAATATTAACTTACTTTATTAATGATACAGTCATAAAACCCTGTGAAGAAAGAGAAGTGTTATTAGAGAGAGTAAATAAGATTGAGGTCATTAGATAAGTGTGAAAAAAGCCTATATTTGTTTTATTTTTTATTTTTTGTATTTATTTTATTTTATAATTTTGTGGAATTTTTACAATACAATCTTTTATTATTATTACCTTACCTCCGAGTCCGAGTGTCCGAGTCCTTCACTGTTGTCGTGTCATCTCTCTCTTTGAAGGAATTGAGACTTCTGAGCATCTAGTCCACTGATAAACAGCTTACAATACATTTGTGTATCGAGGGTTACATACCAAAAAGTGAAAACCTAAAAAAAGGTGAATTAAATGAAAAATAAAAACATCCTGGATCTGTTTCTTTGCGCTTCTTTTTTTTTGTATATATTATAGAAGTATCGGATCGGGTTTCGGTATTGGTGGATACTCAAAATGACTCGCACTTGGACTCAAGCAAAAAAATCGAATCCTATAAATCAGTATGCATACAATATTTCAAATTGCACTCTAAGCAGGGGTCACCAATCTTGTTCCTGGAGGTCCGGTGCCCTGCAGAGTTTAGCTCCAACTTGACTCAACACACCTGCCTGAGTGTTTCAAGTATACCTAGTAAGTGTCAGGGTTCTGCCAATCTGGTCTTGAAAATTCTTGTTTTGGTGTTTTGGAGTACGGACACTAGCTCTGTCTTGTCTTGTTTCTGTCATTGTGTGTGTCTCTGTGTGTGCCGTCGTGGGTGTGCGCAGAGTGTGCGCACTCCCACTTGATGCGGCCGTGCGGGCTCTGTGCATGCCTTGGACGCGCGCTCTTGTACTCGTGTTTGTGTTTTGTTCTGTCAGCATCGCGCTGTTTCATTCTTAGCATTTCCGTCTAGTTGGGTTCCGGTTTTGGTTGATGCTGAGATGAAGCATGCGAGTTGCATATGTGTGAGTGCACGGTAAGGTGTTTATATATCGTGTGCTCGTGTCTTGCGTCTGTTGTCAAAGCACATGGCTTTGTGTTTACATTGTGGTCGCGTGCTTTGGTTGTGTGCTTCAGTGTTGTGTTTGTCTTATCATACGAACACGCTGTTAGTGAGTTCTCTCTGTTAACCCATTATTAGTTTCTCATGTTCACCTGTTTGTGCCAATTTTACTTCTGCTTATAATCCCCTCATGTCTGCTGTCATGTGCCAGTTCGTCATCGATATTTTCCTGTTCTGTTGTGTCCAGCCCTGCTTTGTCCTGCCAGCCCAGTCAAGTTTGTTTTTGCCTTTTTATTCATTTTTTCCCCCTCGGGGTAATATATCTTGCCTTTTTGTTTTATTTGTATTTTATAATAAATCCTTATTTATCTGCAATTGGGTCCTCGCTCCTTTTTCCACTTACCGAACTGTGACAGTAAGAAGTTGATTAGCTTGTTCAGGTGTTTGCTTAGGGTTGGAGCTAAAATCTGCAGGACACCTGACCTCCAGGAACAAGTTTGGTGATCCCTGATCTATAGCGATAGTTTTTATGTAATTCAACATTTTCAAAGCTCAAATGTTGCGATAAAGACTGCAACTAAAGTTTAAAAGCATAAACTGGAATGGACAAGAAAGCATTTCAGGAAACACATGACCATATTATTGTGAGTTGTAGTTTGTGTGCTGACAGGCTGCAGGCTCTACTGATTTGGCAGTGCAAATATAACGTATCATCAGGCCTACAGAGAGAAAGAGGAAGATTAGTGTGGTCTAATAGTGTGAGTCTCCGCTGCTGACCTCTCGGGTCTGACCTCGTCCTCTCTATTTCCACAGGCCATTCCACAACTCTCCTGCCAACATTTAAAACACTTCCTGTTAGACAAGCGGATGGCAGGAAGTTGCACATGCAGAGGCGCTTCAGTCGTAAGTAATAAACACCAGCTTTCATCATGAAGCTTTTTTTTATTTTTTTTGCTGCTCTTCTCTCTGTGTTCAAATGCTTTGCAGTGGTGCTGTTGAGGTTCTGAGTGTGTGATGAGCTATATAGATACATAATATTATAGATAATATACTATGTCTGGATTTTAAGTATGGTTTTGAGTAAAATATTAATGTGTTAGACATTTCTTTCAAATTTTTTCAAGAAAGAAAATGTAATTTAGAGCTTTTTTGTCAGAGAATGAACGCATGTTTGTGTTTGGTATAAAAGTCATTACATCTATATAAAACTCACTGTGTGTGTGTGTGTGTGTGTGTGTGTGTGTGTGTGTGTGTGTGTGTGTGTGTGTGTGTGTGTGTGTGTGTGTGTGTGTGTGTGTGTGTGTGTGTGTGCACGCATGCGCATATGTGTTATTGGAATGTGTGTGTGTTATTACAGTGTGTGTGTGTGCTGGTGCGGATGGGGTGGCTGATGAATGAGGCAGTGTGGCAGATTCACAGTGCGGATCTTACTGCAGCTGTAGGGGAAACTAATGGCTAGCAGGGACCACCGAGGTCTCTGAGCTAATACCTGCTTCCTCCATCACAAAAACTCAAGCCCTGACACACACACACACACACACACACACACACACACACACACACACACACAAACAGGCATTTTTACAGCCTGCCAAATGAAAGCTTCTCCTTGCCGCCAATACACTCAATACAACCAATAAACCCCATACTGCCCGACCAACACACCCAATACATCCAACACTCTCTAGAAGAACAGGATCAACACACACACACACACACACACACACACACACACACACACACACACACACACACACACACACACACACACACACCTCCACTACTGTCTGTCTGTCTATCTATCTATTGAGAGAGAGAGAGACTTCATTTATCCATCCATCCATTCTTAGATCTATACACTCATCCATTGTTCTGTATTTCTAATCTCATGTTTATCCATTCATTCATCCTTTCATCCATTCATCCATCCATTGTCCTGCATGTCTATCCATCCATGTATTTGTCCATCCATCCATTAATCTATTCATCAATCCATCCCTCCCTCCATCCATTCATCCATCCATACATCCATTCATTCACCCATCCATCCATCCATCCATTGTCCTGCATGTCTATCCATCCATGTATTTGTCCATCCATCCATCCATCCATCCATCCATCCATCCATCCATCCATCCATCTATTCATCATTCCATCTATCCCTCCATCCATTCATCTATCCATACATCTATTCATCCATCCACTGTTCTGTATATCTATTCACAGATGTTTATTAATTTCATCTAATTTCATCATTAATTTCAATTTCATTCATCCTTCCATCCTTCCATTCATCCATACATTGTCCTGTATGTTTGTCCATCCATCCATTATTTGTCCATCAATCCATCTATTCCTCTTTTTCTCCCTCCCTCCCTCCCTCCCTCCATCCATCCAATCCATCCAATCCATCCATCCATCCATCCCACCCTCCATCCATCCATCCATCCATCCATCCATCCATCCATCCATCCATGCATCCATCCATCCATCCATCCATCCATCCATCCTTATATATTTCCATCCATTTATCCATCTATCCATTGCCCTGTATATTCATTCTTCTGTTTATCCATCTATTTATCCATGCATCCATCCATCCTTCTGTCTGCCCATTCATCCATCCATCCATCCATTCATCCATACATCCGTTGTCCTGTATATCTATCCATCCATCCATCTATCTATTCATCCATCTGTTTATCTATCCATCCATCCATTGCCTTGTATATCTATCCATTTATCCATCCATACATCCATCATCCATCCATCCACCCGTCTGTCTGCCCATCCATCCATCCATCCATCCATCTTTTTGTCTGCCCATCCATTCTTTTGTCTGCCCTTCTATTTATCCATCCATCTATTGTCATGTATATCTGTCAGTCCATCCATCCATCCATCCATCCATCCATCCATCCATCCATCCATCTATCCATCCATTGCCCTGTATATTCATCCATCTGTTAATCCATCGAATCATCCGTCTATCCGTCCGTCCATCTGTCTGCCTGTCTGTCTGTCCGTCTGTCCATCTCTCTGTCCAATCATCCATCCTTCCATCCATCCACCCTTCCTTCCATCCTTCCATCCATCCATCCATCCATCCATCCATCAGCCTGTATATCCATCTATCCATCTTTTTATCCACCCATCTTTATACCTATTGTCCTGTTTATGTCCATCCATCTATCTATCTGTCAATTTATTTATCAATCCAATGCACTGTTTATTAATCTATTCACTGTCCTGTATATTTATCCTTCCATCAATTGTTCTGTCTCTACAATCATCCATCCCTCTATCTACCCATTGTCCTGTTCATCCATTCATCCATCCATCCACCACATTAACATTCAGACCTGAATAAGAATTAAATCTGATCTGAAATACCAAACATTTTCCATTTTGCAGCTTCGTCAAGTTGTTGTTCTTTTTTTTTTTTTTTTTTTTTTTGATGTGATAAATTCCTCTTTGAATAGCAAGTTCAAAAGTCATTCATCTTTTCTCCAAACAAGTAACTTTCCAATTGTACCCATTTCTTTATGTCTGTCTTCACGGGTGATCTTGACAGTTGATGAAGCACAATTTTTTTTTTTTTCCTTTTTTTCTCGCGTTCTCACTTGCTCCTCTGAAAGGTTGCACGCTCTTAGGAAAGTCCAAAAATAATATGCATGTGATAAGTCATTAGTCATTTCTTAGGCTGCATATGTTAACTTGACCTGCCGTATGTTAATGCATGCAACAATGGCCCCACATATGGCTGCGTGTGCATTCCCAACTGCAGGATCTCCTGCGTGGAGCCTCATTACCGAAAACTTCCCAGCCGCGTCATTAGCGCAGAGGTGGGTTCACGAGGACCGCCGGTGCTCTTCAGCTCCAGTCACACCATCAGCAGGAGACCAAACACACGCTCTCATGTCAGACAGACTTATCACACTTTGCGCAGGTGCTGGAGACACTGGAGGAAACAATAACTGATTTAAAGCACTTGTTTTAATCAGAGATTTCAGCACAGTTCAAGACACTCTCAGTTTTTTCTTAAGACGCTGCACAGGTCAGGGAAACAACAAACTAACCAGCATACCAGCGTTGGGTAGTTAGTGATTAATCAGCATAGTTCTCCAGTTGATTGATTACATTAGGAGTTGCACAGGGGGGGGTTTTGTATCGCAAAAATGTTATGTTAAATATGCAAATGAGTTATTGCTTTGCATAATTTGCATACATTTCTTCCACAAAAATCTGATTGTTGGATACACTGTAAAGAAATCTTACTGCCTTAAATTGTTTAGTTGAATCAAATAAAATTTTGAGTCATCTCAACTTACATTCAAGAGTTCACTGATGATTGATTATAAAGCTTGTTTGGCGTGCTGTCCCGGGAGAGAGCCCTATACTCATAAGATCCTCGAGCCCGGGGCACCCTCCCTTTGCAAGGCGAGAGGGGAGTTTGAGCTCAGGTAGATCTCGAGAACTCCCCTGTCATAGAGGCTGAAGAGCGGATAGTAGTTCCTCTTAAAGAGATATGTACTAGGTAGGGGCAAAACTATGGTGTTGATTTGGATTAGTCGATAAACTTAGGTTGCATGTTTTTGATCGGTGGGAGGAAACCGGGAAACCCGGGGGAAACCCACGTGAGCACGGCGCGAAATATGTATAGCTTGTAAACTGTGCACAGAAATGTCTGCTGATTTGATAAGCCTGAAACCAGAGAGGTTCTTGTTGTGAGGCAACAGTGCTAAGCAATGGGCCACCGTGTCACCCATTTAGGAGTAGGGGTGGAAGGGGGGATTCTTCAAAACGAAGATTTCGGTGATACGTAACCCAGGGTATTTGTAGTAGCTTAGGAGTCGTGTGATTGGTGCATTGAGAAATAGATAATGCGGGTCCAGCCGCTAGCAATCGTAAGCATGTGATCCTCTCGAAGTCAGTTTATCAATAAATTTCACTTAGTCTAACTGACTACAAATGTTGAGTAAAATAACTGGAATGACTAAAACAATGTTGAAACATAGTTAACTGATTACAATAATACCTTTAGTCATAATTTTTCATTGTGTGAGGGGAGATTCAAACATTTTTGTTTTTCTGTCTATCGACATATTAGTCATTGTGTTTTTGTAACGAGGGTTTTTGGGTATCTTTTTAGCACTTTATAATTTGGAAAAGGCGAAGACAGAATATTTTAAAGTATTTTTTGTTGAATAAACCTTGAAAGAAAACCTTCCGAAATAGATAGAATATATAAAAACAGGTTTATTTTTATTACTTCATGATTGCAAAAATGTAAACACTTTATAGAATTTTCAATCTCTAAAACCGATGTAATCAGGAAAAAATATGTTTGACCATTCATTCATTCTGTTTTTTTTTTTTTTTCTTCGACTTAGTCCCATTATTAATCAAGGGTCTCCACAGCGGACTGAACCGCCAAATTATCCACCATATGTTTTATGCAGTGTATGCCCTCCCAGCTGCAACACAGTACTGGAGAACACCCATATACCTTTATATGCACACAAATACACTACAGCCAATTTAGTTTATTCAATTCGCCTACTACATAGCGATTGTCTTTGGACTGTGGGGGAAACCAAAGCACCCGGAGAAAACTCACCCCAACACGGGGAGAACTTACAAACTCCAACTAGAAATGCCAACTGACCCAACCGGGTCTTAAACCAGTGACCGTCTTGCTGTAAGACGACAGTGCTAACCACTGAGCCACCGTGCCACCTGTAATTTAAATATTTAGACATATAAAGTGGGATGTTATTTAGACATATATATTTTTTTTATATATAAATTGTGACAAAAGGAACACGCAAAATGTATTTAAATTTGTGTATTTACATTAGACTGAAAAAAGCACTTTATGAAGTCGACAGAGTAAAACAAATCTTGCTGCCTTAAATT